GTTGTTCAGCATGGGGGTGAGTAGAAAATGAAGGCTAATCATGTTTTGGGTGTACTATTCCTTTAAGACAACTTGTTTTCTAGAAGTGCACAGGAATCTTTTATGCTTTAACCCCTAAGGGATGCCTTGTTCATGTGTCAGATCAGAACTTTAAACTTTAGGGGGTATACTAAAAGTTTTTCCATTTTATAAGTCTTTTCTAAGTTATGTCTGTTGTTCATGGAAACTAATTTACACCTCCTTCTCACTCTGGTATTCCTTTGTACTGTTTTTGTTATTGAAGATGATGGCTAAGCCGTACCAGGAGGCCAAAGGTGTGCTGCGGACATACCTGCGTCAGCAAGGCTATGGTTCATGGCTGGAAAAGCTTCCTGATTGCGACAGTTTCAATAGTTAAAGAAAAAAAACTCAATCTGATTCAAAGTTTTGTTTTGTTTTTGTTTGTTCTTTCAGAGAGTTGAGCCTAGATTTTCCTTTCAGTAAAGGAATAGCTTTAAACCTGTTGGCTTTTTTTAATTTAAGTTGTCTCTTTAAATTCTTAGGTTTTTTGTTTTCATCTTTTTCAGAGAAGTTGATTTCTCTCATGTGGAATCTAAAGTTCTGTTTGGAAATCACATTTGTAATTACTTTTGACGGCTGCTTTATTTGTTTTAGGTTTTGGATCTGTGCAACATTGTAAGATTGTTTTTTCTTTATACACAGATGAACAATAAAACAAAACTGTTTGGGTTTGTATATCGTATGAACACAAAAGTCCATAGGTTAAGAATTTCTGAAAATATTTACGTTTTATTTATGTTTGTATAAAAACAGAATTTTAATTGTAGTTTCTTTAAAAAAATTCCAAAAATAAAAAATCTCAAAACAGAAATTTAATGTTATGTCCTACATAATGATAGGTCAGGACTGTTGACTCAGCTATCCATTAGATTATCACAACACCCATTGGTTGGTAAGCCCACAAGGGTTGTTGCTAAAGAAGCTTGCTATTCAGTAAGTTTTATCTAAACATGTTTTTAAATGTATGGAAGGAAGACAATAAAAAAAAAAAATCCGAAAGCATCATAAATTACCTCAACCTTGAGAAGAACCTAGCAACAAAATAAACACATGATCTCATCAAATAGCGGCATTTATACTTGAGGAGTACAAAGCAGCTTAAACAGTAGTCCTTGTGGTTTAGTGGTTTTAGTCTCTAACTTGAATGCAGGAGTGCTGAGTGTGAATCCTGGTTGCATCAGTAAAAGCATCTGGTGAGAAAAGTTTTCCAGGCCATGTAAGCTGATTCCAAATAGTGCAAATCTGTAAGGATACTTTAGCTAAAGTGGAAGTCAGCAGCCACATTGACAAATGCTAAGCAAATAGTGGTGGCAGTAAGGAAGGAGCTAGGAAGAGGAAGCAGAATGTTTCCAACCGATAAGTTTGTTTAGCATGGGGACCTCTCAGCGTTCCTTTCTGCTACATAGGAGCTTTATACTTGCCCACAATGCTTTGCATGACATCTAGGCGTGGTGCACCACACTGAGGCTAATTCCTCAGTTCACAAGAACACGAGTATGGACTTGTGTTCTCGCCAAGTATGTTAACAAAAACACAGGAAAGTATGTATTTGGGGAGAACGGGAGCACACAGCATAAATATGGGTCAATTGGAACAGAATCGTACACACTTGGCTAATCTGGAGCTGCATTTCACCTTCTGTCAATCTCCAGATAATACATTCTTACTTTTTTCCATTTAGCGGGGGAATAATATAGTAAGATTAACACAAATCAAATTAATATTTCCCAAATAAAACCAAAAGCCTCCATCAGAGCCAGCGGTACTTCACACACAGCTATGCAGAGAGGGCTGCTGCAGACGGGCTAACATTAGCCCTGGCTGCGGTTAGCCTTGGAGGTCCGCTGGTTGCGACGGTCCTCTCAACATCGGAATTTTTTTTTTTACTTACGAACTAAATTAGTAAATGGGCCATATAGTAACACTTAAAGTAGTAGGGAAATGGCCGTTCCAAACGTTGCATTTCCAAATTCTCCCGAGTGGTGCATGATTTTACACAAGTGAAATAAAGTGAATGCGATTGGTCGATTATCAAGAGGGCGGGAATTTTGTGGCTGAAGGTTGGCAAGCAAGTTTGATTGTTGCCGGTTTATCGGACGCATCTTGCTAACCAGTTAGCAACTTAGTGCTAGTAGGTTCCCAATGGGAAATTCCATTGGGACCAAGTAGCACTAAATTGGTGAGTTAAAAACGAGACTGTCAAGGAACGCTATGGACAGTGGAAACATGCAGCAGGAGGAGGGTTTTGTCAGAGGTTGTGGATGACTCTTCTCCATCATACATTTTTGATTTAGAGGAGTAAAGTGGGGACGAGGGTGTTATGGAAGAGGACGGCAGGGCGGCAGAAGCTTGGTTTGGTTCAGAAGGCTTACAGCCATACATGTTTGAGCCCTTGCCTCGTAACGCTGCCAGTTCTGTTAGCTCTACGCCTGCTGAAGACACAGACGTCCATCCCTGTTAACACTGGGACCTAACTCGATGGTAAAGTAAATGATTCGTATTTCAGCCGTTGCGTATATTAGTTCCGACATAGGAATCAAGATGCTATTACTGAAAAATTTTGATTGACAGATGACTGTTGATATATGATTGGCTGAATTTAGGTGTACAAGGTGATGTATAACTAACTGGCCTGCATATGGTAAAGGAAAAAAAAAACAGGATTTTTTTTTTTAAATACAAATTTCCAAAATTATGGGACAATATCGTCTGATAAAGAGTACATTTATATACATATTTTTAAGCCAGAATGATTTGACATTTAAATATGATTTCCCTACGACTAAAAGTATAATGTTCTCACATCAAATGTCTTTAAACGTATTTTTATAGAACAGCAGCAACAGACAAGACAACTTTTAACTTAAAGGTATAGTGGAGGATTTTCTTTTTCCAGGTGGATCATCTAAATAAGTGCTCCTCCTAACTGTCTGTCATTCTGGTGATATGTTTACACAAGGCCGTCCTACATGCTCGTCCCCGGTTAGCTATCTTTTCCTGCACTTTTTCAGGCATATATGTGTTGTGAGCTATGGTTTCATACAGTCAATGAAGCTCACCTTTCTCACCACGGTTCTTTGAAAATGGCAGAGGGTCGTAAGAGAAAGTGTCTACGAAGTGTATGATAAGAAAGGCCTCAGAAGAGGCAGATATATCCCGGAATGCTTTGTATAGAGAGCTCTCATTGCAAAGCATTAGGGATTTGCTTTCACATCGGCAAAGTGATCATCAGTCCGAACAGTCAGTTAACTGAGTTCACTATAAAGTCCACTATATAGTGATTTAGGGATTAGGACAGAGTAGGCCTTTTCAGCTATGCGAACAGTCCCTTTTTAAACAGAGCGTGAACAAGGAGAAATGGGCTCATGCATGCTCTCGCACACGTTTAATAGGAGTTCCCTCTCAGGAGCAGGTACAGGGTACAGGCTGATGCATGCTCAGTTAAGAAGGAGGGACGAGAACAACATCTGGGGAATTTGTACGTTCTCTTGTGTTCTTGTGAATTGGATCTGTGCTTGGGCTGAGGCTTCAGGACGTTTCAGGAGCATACGAGAACGCACAAGTACACCTATTGAGAAACGGCCTGAGTCTAACAAAAATGCATCACTTCATGACATGTACTGCATGTGAAAAGTGCAAATGTTTGCATCTTCATATGTTTTGGGTTTTAAAATGGTGAGTCACAGTTTTAACAACTTTAAAGTTTGTGTTTTTTAATTGTTTTTTTGAGGATTATATTCCCAATTGATGTAACGCACTCTGCAAGATCGGTCGGCCCACACGGAAATGCAAGCCAGTTTTAGCAAGCCTAGGAAAGTTTTAAGGGTGACATGGTGCAGCAAAATTATAATTGAAGCGTTCAAAGAGGCATTCTAGTGACCAGCAAACATCGAAGCAAAAACAATGTGCCTTATTTTATTTCTACATCAAGCCAGAAAGGTTATTTCAACGCAGTAAAGAAAAATCACGGAAAATGGATGTCACAGAGAATGAGAGAATATACCCTCATTCTACATAAAAGGTTGAAAAACTGAAGCATGTTTTTACTAAATGTACAGTCAAACTGTGTATAAGGATTTCCAGTCCATTCTAGAACATTGCATTTGATGCAGTTTATTTTCAATTGTTTATAACTAAGTAACTTCGAAATAACCCTGTAATTATGCGAAAAAGTAAGGATTGTTTACCTTCATACAAATGAACAACCGGTAGCTCCGTTGACGCTCTAGCTTTTTAATTTTTAAAAAATATAATTCTGTTCCCTAAATACTCATGGGTTACCACCTCTGAACTACATATTTCATGCTAACAACATTTAGCCCTTTATTGCATGTCTTGTTTTAGCAACATTTCCAGGTCCAAAATCCTGGTAAAGTTGACAGTGAGAGACAAACAGCTGCTCGTGCAGGGAGGGCCTTTTCACCTCGACACAAATTGGGATAACTGATTGGTCAGTTGCCGATGAGCCTCCAGGGTTGATTGACACGTGCATCATGTCTGTCGTGTAATGACCTCTGTGAGGCTGAAGTTTGTCAAGGTTCAGCACAGCAAACCGGGCCTCCTCTCCTACCATAAGTGTTTTTACTTTTAAACCTGCGAAAGGTGAATGTGTAGGAGATCGGAACAGGAAGTAGGTTCTACAAGTCACCTTATACAGAGTAAAGAAAAAAAAAGCAACCTCTGCCATGTTTGAACTACATGTTGTGTCTACGTTATGTTTTCTTATCTCAATTTGTTTGGCACCAAATATCAATTAAGGGAAACTGTTTCAAACTTGCATTCATATTTATCCAGGGTAGTGACTTATATAAATGCATTTATTTACAGACAAATCTGACACTTCTAGAAAAACACCACCAAACATCATTTTTACCTCATTTGGTGTGACTGTTACATTTAGCAGTGCGTGCCACAGTCTCTTACCCTCCGTCAGAACGAGGAGTAATGAAGATCAGGCAGTACAAGTATGGAAAAGTCCAGCTTTTCCATGCATATAATGCAAGTTGCATGGCACGTGAGTTTGATGGGCAGTTGCATTGCAAACCCACAACTTTAAAGTCGATAGAAGGATGGCAATTAAAGCTGTTCACTTGATGCATAATCTAGCAAGAGGAAATCTAGAATGTTCATTTTAAATATTTGTTTAAACTTGTTGACCTGTTTCCTTTCCTATTCTGTTAAACTTTTTTGCCCTACAGTGTTTTTTTTAATATACACATACAGGAAATGCTCTGGTTTCCTGTGTTTGCAGCACAACGCTTCATTTATGCTAAATTGTTGGCTGCAACCTTGTGAATGGAGATCTGTGCATTCCTACTTATCTTTGCAAGCAATGGAAAAAACCATAGGATGCAGGGAATTTGTGTCCAGTGATCAAACCTTTCATT